CTTCGGGAATTCCGAAGAGTTATTCCGAACCGGGATAATTCGATAGGTGGTAGGTTTGCTTCTGAATCATCCAGATCGGATGGCTGCCTTTTGCTCGGTTGTTACCCATAGTGTGACCTTGAGCCGGGAGAGACGCAGAGGCCTATTCTATCATAGAATTTCTATGATCTATGCGGGGTTGACGAAGTTTCAGCTATGCACGCATGCACGAGAAGATCGGCGCATGATGAGTAACACTGCCAGGGAACTACGAGGGATATCGCATATTCGCACAGCTCTCATCAGAAGTTCTGAGTTAGAACGCCGGACGCCCTACGCCGATCTACAAAGTCGGTGTAGTGTTCCCTGCTGAATGAACAGTTCTGGAGAGAGGATTTTCAACGAGCGCCATCGCAGGGCACGAAACCTTGCCATTAGCTGTCTCCGGCAGAGAACTGGTGGTAGGACTCCTCCCGGTGCAACCGCAGCCTTTACTCGGAAAGGCAGCATAGCCAAGCACTCCCACATAAGCTTTCCGAATTCTTATGCCGGCACACGGAGAAGGTCGAAGTGCTAATCATCACCATTATCATCACCACGGTGCGATCCAGTGCTGATCCCGGATCCCAGAACGCCGGTGCGCGTGCGGCACAGGGACGCAGCGTACTCCCTGTCTCCCTTTAGAATGGGGTTCCCCCGCTGCTCTGAGGCCGAGTTGACTGACAAGTCGGCTTGGCTCATCTTTTTCTCTTTCTCATTAGAGAGAGCCCATTGCTTGTCTAAACGGTTCAACAAATTTGTATTGCTGGATGAGCACTCGGCATAATCACCAGTGAGCGGCAGGGAGCCACTGAAGCCCCGCGCCGCTAGCCCATAGCTTCGTATCCTCGCCAGCCCCCTTGGTCGACTTCCCGTAGACAATTGGTTGACTTCGCCGTAGATCCTATACTGCTTTGCCAGTTGTTAAGTCTTGACACCTCACAATGATCCAACTAACTATTCTATGCATCATTTACGCTGTCCGCGCGGAGTTCACGGGTAGGGCGGCGGTCTTCCATGCTACGACGACTAACCTTTGCAATAGAGATTTGAAGGACGCTCATGGCAATCCCGTCCCCTGTGGCAAATCTCGAGCTAGAGAGACTCTCGGGCTGACGTTGCCTGGTATGGAGGACGGTTCTCTTACTACAAGGGAGCATATCATTATTGCTAGAGACGGCAACGTCAGGGTCAAAGCTATGCCAAGCCGCCCCTATCAGTATTTCATGTACACCGAGACTCCGAAGAACGTCAAACTTCATCAGCTGTACAACCACCAAGCCATCGCTCTCGTCGACAGCACGCCCGAGTTCGAAGCTCAGCGCCTCTACGGTGCTGGGCTGAGTAAAGATGGTTGGACTGACGGAGGCCTGGCCAATATTGACAGCAAGACGTTACACAAGTGGACCAAGCGTGGGCCACAGGGCATCGATAAGGCCTCTGGCTTCAATTACACAGCCGTCTACCAGACTTGTATGCAGCCTAATGTTTGGACGTTCTATACCGACTCTGATGACTCAAAACCTGTGAAGCTGGTCGGGTCTAACTCCTTCTGCAACAAGGTCCTGCGGGTCACAGAGTACTCCAACTACCGCACTTTGGATGAAACACTCACTGTGGAGGACTCTATCAAAGAAGTGCACACCATGTATGGTATCGGGTCTCGCATATTATCTGTTGGAGAGAGTCAGGAGGTTCCCAAAGTATGTGAAGATCTCTTGGGTGCTCCCTACGTGTGTGAGTCTGAACGGGAGTTCTTCGGAGACGGCCAAGAGGTTGACTGGATACCTTCTGGCAGGAGGATGCGTGGAGCTACAGAAAGCCAGGATATCATCCCGTACTTCGACGTTGCCGAGGGCACTGCGGCTTATACGTTCTTCCATCACCAATATGAAAGGCGCCTCCTCCAACTGCTTAAATTTGAGTTCCCCCCCAATTGCAACAACACCGGTGGAACAGCTTTTCTGAACTTCTGCCTCTTCGTCGCCGTCGATGCGACCATCTCGACTTATACGCTGAAGGCAGGGATGACGTTCGTTGATGTGAATGATAAGAACAAAAAGGCTCAACTCTTCCTCGCAATCGTAGTCGGCAAGGAGCTTGGTCAGAGTGTGCTGAGGTTGGAGCTCGTGGCCCAGGGATCAGTTACGGTGTGGCAGATGGGTGAAGGAGCCAGTTTGAGTATCGTGGTCTCGATCGAGGGGAAGGTCTCTGATGATACGGCCAAGCAGATATTCAGGGCTGAAGCGAAGATAGCGGTTTCATTTAGAGTAAATCTCCCCGTGGTTGGAAGCATCATGGACATTACCATCTATGCAAAGATTGGTATCACAGCGGCTCCCAACAACGTTATCACGGCCTACGGTGAGATTGGCGTAAGTATATCCCTATTTATCGCTGGCGCTGGTGCTGGAATCAACATCAAGGGGAACACACTCGACAACCTGCCGAACAAGTGGGCTTTCAAGTCGGAGGCATTCGTGACTGCGTGGGTGAATATCCTCTTGTGGAGTGACAACTGGAGGTGGTCGTGGGAGATCTGGCATGCTAGCCCGGTATACTTCTGAAGATCACTACACTGCAGTCTTAACTCTGCTGCTTTTCCTAACCGCTCCTCTTCTCGTCAAGGTCTGAGCAAACGCGAAGCCCATGCCTTCATTCGCCGGGTCTGCAGGAGACGTCCTTTGTTGATTCGGTAATATCTTTCTACTTAGGATTAAATAAACTTGGCCTCTTGAAGATGGGGTGGATACTATTCTCTTTCGCCGCCCCTCCAGGATGAGTTATTGCACCATACTCGGGATCATAACTCGAGTCTACCAGAGTAGATCCTTCGCCGATATTTCATGTAATATCCTTTGTCAACTCATTTTAAGTCAATCAACTTGACCAAACTGATTATAATAAAGAGGATAATATTTAATAAGATTTTGACGTTACATGTCGAGTAGTCGGTATCCTCAGAACCAGGCCTGCCTCTATTAGCTATTTGAGCTTTTTACATACCAGAAAGTGAAAGGCCTCGAATGTTCATGATGTTGGGTTGGAAAGTTCAATATCAACTCGCAACTGCAGACGGAGCTCCGAAAGAGGCGGACAGGGCGCCGTCGAAGTTCCTCTTTCAAGTGCACCGCGGCGCGGTGACCGCGCACTTCAAATAGGATGCCCGAGGACTTCAGCGACGCTGAATCAGTATGCTGGCGAGACGAGTGAGGCCCGAGCGGCTGTATCTGGGCGATTGAGCGACCCCGAATCCTTTTTTAAAACGTACGATGTGCTGGAAGGGCGACCCCGAATCCTCTTTAAGCGTATGCTGTGTGTCTTCAGACGTTGGTAGACATGATAGTGCTCTCAGCCTGAAAGCATTAGCCTCCTGCCCATAGGGTATCGGAGGCTCCGCAGAGCGCAGCCTTGTCTGCGGCGTACAGCAATGACGTGGCTTCGGTCAATTATTTGAATTTACTTGAGTAATAGCCGCCCATTCATTAAGGCTCTTTTTGGTACCCTGAGAGCTCCCTTGCCGGTTGGATTCTAAAATTTAGAATCTAAATGAATTATTTGTCTTACACTGATAATGGAGGACTACGATGCGTAGCAGCTACGCCGTAGCTTCCATATGCTACCGACAGCAGTAATATGGCGGAGCAAGGCATTCGAGTTCTACGCCTATCTCATTGGCGCAAGCTGTTCCACGAGTCGTGGACCACGACTCGAAATGTCTCTTAATTCGACCACATATTCGATTGCGGGGTCGTCGAGCTGATATTTGAGGGATTGATTCTCGGTGTCGACTTCAGGGGTGGTGACATTGTCACCGTGACAAGGACTCTCTCCGATCATCGGAGTCCGATGAAAACGAGCAGATTGCGGCTCTGTTGATCGCCTTCTGTGAACCCTTTCGGTTAATATATTCCACGGTCTTCCAGATTAACAACTGGAAACACTGATCCAGACTTGTAGTAATAACAATATCAATAACCACTATCATAGTGGCACTATGATAGAGAATACCCACTCTCTACCACGACATATAACGACGTAGGTGGTTGATGGTAACCACCAGTGTAACGCGTAATTACAACTTTACTTAATGATTAATGATTGAACCCACAGCTAGCGTACTAGCGTCAGGATACTTTAGCCACCCACAGAGTGTCCCAAGGGCATCAGAATGGGGGAAAAAGGAGGCAATCCACACAATTGCCGAGACTTCATCATTTGTGCTCTTTTGGGACGCAACAGCTCCAGAGGCACCAGCCTGGTGCCTGCCTGACGCCTCCAGGCAAGCACCACGCGAGGCTCTCCTTCATTGTCCAGGACTTGGCATTCATCTACGGGGCCGTGATCTCTTTTCTTCTTTGTGATCTTTTTCACGGTCCTGAAACCTTCCGGGGATTGGGAGTCGCAGCGGTGACAGTGAGGGCAACAAAGGGTCAAACGACTACCTCCCTACTGTCCTACCCCAGCGGTTCCCATATTTGTCTGCGCACAGGCTGTGCGGCACAGCAAGTTCACAGCCCGTACGTGTGTGCGGCGGCCGCACCGCGGCCAGCCCAGCCTACAACCCGGATATTGGGGTAGGCCCAGGCTCACTTGTAGTCTCGGTTGGTGCGTTGGCTGGGATCGATCGGCTCACGCAGAGGCTGCAGAGCCGCTCATATTGTTTACCAAGGAAACATGATGACAAAGTTTGTCAGACGAACTGACAGGCGAAAGATGGCTTCGGTTCACGCGTTTCACAAAGCCGCCTACCTTTCGTCGAGCACGAGATTCCACAGTACTAGGATGTTAACTCGACGGTGATCAGTGGTTAGATCGAGAAGCTGCATCCATCATGGCTAGCGCCCTAGAACGCCAGCACACAAAATTCGTCCCCTGCCCTCCTGGTTTCACCGTTTATAAACCCCTTCGGGATTTACCTCTACAACTTGGAGCGCTCTCTGCCGAGCTGACAGGACCATTGGAAATGATCTTTGATATCGTAATAGCTGCGAGACCCGAACTCGCGCCCGTCCGAAAGTTTCGGACTAACGCCTGAATCTAGCGGCTTGGACCACTCAGCCAAACTGTCGGTGACTAACTAGCATAGATGGCTTCCTATGCCGTGTATAGTGTTCGAAGAGATACGACGAATCGTTCGCTTCGTCTGGGCTTTAAGTCTTCCGTCGCAGACGGCAGGGAGCATCCGGGAAAATGGGAACGGGAAGCAGATGCTTCAAGATAGTTTGCGTCGCAAACTATCTTTGAGCATTACTTCGAAGCAAACTTTGCGACACGAGTACGATGCAACTGTGAACTCGAGGTTTAACTATTCTGTTATCAATATTCTGTTACTATCGACTTTTTGATGACGCCGTCATCAAAAAGTCAATCTACAGATAATGCCTGCCCCATAATATCTGTCAGATATGCCGTAACAGAGCCAACTCCAGCACGAGTTCAAATTGAAGAAATTCTTACCGTCGAAGAAATTCTCGTCCGTATTCAATACGGACTTCAGAAGTTGAGGAGAGAAGAGATGAGAGAAGAGAAAGAGAAGCTCTTAAAGTATTGCATGTCTTTCTGTTCACTATCTCGGACTCCTTTCCGACTCGGAAATTCCGAGTCCGAGTTCACTATTCACTATTCCGAGTTCACTATCTTACTGTCGGCAAACTTCTCCGTCACGGAGTCTCCGTGCGCATCGAAAAGGACCCTTGATTCGAGAGCCATGATCGTCCTGGGCCATTCGTCCAGGAGGACCTGTTCTAAGTCATCAAGCATAGATGATCCCGACTTTCAGTCGGCGACTGAATCGGACCGACGCTCTCAAATTTTGAGAGCATTGTCACTGGTACAATAACACTGCTATAATGACATTGTTATTGTTATTATAACAGCTACAAGCGAAGTTGCAGTGATCCTTGGCTCCAACTTTGCTTTCCCAGCTGCTTCGATGAGCTCGGACTCTCGATCGAAAAGGTCGCCAGTTTCGACCGCAGGTCCGATGGTTCAACCATCATGGTTGGACTGGGCACCGACGTCATTGAAAGCCTGACCGCTGTTCCCTAAGTCTCAGTCGAACAGGTGAGCATTATTCTTGAAATCAATGGTCTGATCCTCCCTCAACTAACTTGTACCATCCCTTCTGTGCTCTTTTGCTCACTGAGATCAAACAATGTTCAGTTCTAGCTTGGCGTCGAGCGGCGAAAGTATCTCACCCGAATGGATTGAGTCAGCCATCGGGATGGACACTCTATGGCCAGTAACTGGCGCGTGTAACTGGCGGCCAGTGGCTGCTCATCGAGCAGTGCTCAACCGTTGAGCACGGGATGGGACCCGTCTGACGGGTTGCCGGTTCCAAAGTTGTGGCAACCTCAATTATGCCGGTATGCTTCGGACTCCGAACACAGGATTTGGGCTCCCTTGCGTAGTGAGCCCGTCTTTGGCGAGAACACTATTCCCGGAACAGTCCTTTTGGGACACGGGGGACGCTAGTGCGGAGACCCTTCGTCACCAGTGGTGGGTCCACTGTCCCCACTGAGGACTCCCCAGCGAAGACTATGCGGAACGGTCTCTGACGAATGCGACGACGCATACTCGACATACAAATGGGCGGGTCGCCTGGCAGGCCTGAACTTTCAAAGCTTCAAATATGCTTCCGAATTTCCGGATCTTGATTCCAGAGGTAGACGCCAAACCATCTCGAAGACGACGGCGGCGCCTTACTGACGTGCGACTGGTCTGCAAACTGCAGGTGCACTTGCGTACACTCGGAGATGTTAAGTCGATTAGTGTTCTCTCATCATTCTCGCGAGTTCGGGAACCTGCACTTCGATCCAGCCAACTACGGCATTGAGGCTCTCATTTTGAGGGCTCTGAAAATCTCATCCAGACAGGGGCGGGTTCCGCTTTTCTCGAAATCGACGATGAGAAAGTGGTTTACAACTAGATTGCTCAGCCTCGTTCACACATTTTCTAATGGCTCTCCCGAGTACAAGGCTCTCCTTCAGTGCCTCTCGCGTCACCTGGGTCCGCAGCGTCTTCTTGCTCGCCTGCATGTACCACATGTCGATTGCGAGTTCTGACGAACCTTTCAGAACTGTCGCCGATTATCCCAAAAATTGCTATGATGGCCCTGGCCCGGCAGATGGTGATAAAATCGAGCTGCTATCCCCCTCCTGCATCTTCAGTTTGAAAGGGTTGAAGCCGGACGGAGTTTATCAAGAGACCGGCGGCGTTGTTATTAGAACCAATATGGATGGAAAATGGGGTGAAATGAGGATCCAAGTCGACTTGAAGAAAGACCCTACAAGCGGCGAGACGAAGGTCAGCGTGGAGACTAGTGGCTGGGCCCATCTATGGTTCGAGCATGATGGTATAGGCTTCCATTGGAATCCAGCCTCTAACATTGGTCATTTCACTGGGACCTCCGTAATCCCTGTTTCTGTGGCCTCTGCGGTCGATGTTCACTATCCTGAGAACAAACACTCGTGGTTTTCTTGGTATGGAGTCAACGGTTTTGCTAGCAGCAAGCAAATGGAGCTGTCCGCCACTCCTGAGATGGATAAGGGCTCAGCTATACCTACATTGATCTGGAACGTGTTCCGCATGGAAAAGGTGGAAGGAGGTTGGAGCTTTCATATCACTTTCACGTCGGCCGGTGACAAGGACGAGAAGCCGTTTTTATATACGGATACTGTTGTTGATGGCGTGCTGCATGATAGGCTGTAGGAAGAAAAATCGTGGATTGCTCGGTAACGTGCTCAAAGTTAGCGCCTCTCACTTTTCACGTTCCCCGAAGACGCATTTTGAACCTCATAGTGAGGAAGTTACATAGACAGAACCATTTTTCTCAGCCTGACAGCAGCCTCAAGCTGCTCATTTAGGCTATACCCGTAGAAGACCTCGCATATTATCAAAACGTTTTACTTTGAAGAATCTAGTATTCTTCTAACTCTCCTATTTTCACCCCAGCGTCGATGAAGGCGTTGCGTTGTAAATCACAAATGTAATTGTAATTACAACTTTTAACTGTCAATAAAGGAATATCAACCAGCCGTGGAACGGCGTTCAGTGTGAACCGCATTGTCTTCTTCGTTTTAGAGTAGGGCCAGCTTTGCAGCAACTGCGCCGGACATTCGAGTACTCTCCAAGATTGTTATCGTTGGCTGGGAATCCCAGCCTGGGATAGAGCAGGCGATGGCGTGATGATACACGACTCGTAACACGAGATAGATCGAGATCAGATTTCTCTCGATAATAATAAATCACACACAATTACATTACATCAAATGCAAATAGTGTGCAATTCAATAGAGAGATGGCTGGACAATCTTTCCATCGGAGCTGATCTATACAGCCACGATACCACAACCCACGAACCCCACTTCGGACTACGACTCGGATTGAATCCCTGCCTCGCTGCCAAAAGTACCGAATAACCCTACCGTAGCTCGAATTCGGGAATATTCGACCTTGATATAATTTAGTGCGAAATCAACGCGGGAGAATCTATCCAGGAAACTGTTCAGCGTCTCACTCATCCTTATCATGCTAGGGCAAATCATGTGCAGTTTCAAGCGCTATAAAAAAACCAATCTGCAGATAATGCCTGACAGATTTGCCGTCCCAGAGCCAACTTCGGCGCGAGCTCATAGTTCACTCGAGCCTCTATTGCTGTTAAACTTCAACCTGAACTCTCCTGATGCAGCCGTCAACCGACCTGTTGAATCCAGGAGACGAAATCTGGACCGATTTGAAGACTCGGTGACAGCCTCAATGTCAACCTCATGACATCCAACCAAAAGTCCATGAGAAGAACCCGTGAGGAAAATAGAAGCTCCTGTCGGTAATCTCGGGAAGGTCGACCTCGAACTGCATACTCGCTCCACAATTCGGAAAGGCTCCGTCTCACACACGTAGATACAGGGCTCGAGATCCCTTCCCTCCAGATGGAGGCTCTCAATATCGATACTGATACTGGCCGTCCCCGTGGCACCGAAACGCGGGGAAAGAGTTGGCTGCGAAACTTTGACCGCGCGACCCGAAGAAGAGACCTTATCATGCAGAGCGACCAGCGCCGAGCCTTCAGGCGACGTGGACTTTGATTGGCAATCCATCTTTGCAGGGGCTGCAGATGTGGCGGCCATCATACCGGTTTCAGGGGGAGTTGCAGTGATTCGCGGCTCTAAGTTGGGTACCACGGAGGTTTCGACCGGCTCGAACTCTCGATTGAGGGAATCTCCAGCTACGACCCCAGGACTGATCGCCGGACTGGGTTCCAATGTCATGGGAGACGTGGTAGCAGGACCGTACTCCTCTGTCACCGGCGGGCGAGTTCCATCCGCGAAGTTACTTGTCGGATCTTCCTTAAAATCTCGTGTCATTTGCCCCGAGATCTCCTGTCCAGTGGAATCCGTCGGTGATGGGACTACCACAGCGTCAGGGTCTCTATCACTCAAACAGAGTGAATGAGGCTCGGGGATAGTCATCTCATGACCAGCAAAGCATTCGAGACGGCCAGCCGAGCCCGATTCCTGTTCGACTTTGTGCAGTACCACGGCCGGCCATTTTCTGGAGTCATGGCAGGAAGTAATCAGCAAGCTACCGGCGGGGTGCAGTGAGACAGTGTGCTCTTTCCCAACCTCGAGAGTATCCGCATCCAGGTACCCGAGACAAAGTGCTGAACCTTCTGAGTCGATGACGGTGCACGCTAGAATGGAGCCGTTTGTCAAGTCGACGGTCAAATCACTTTCGAAGATAACATGGCGGCTCGGATCGACCCTCTTGGTGTAGCGCGGTTCTTTGCACACAATCTTGATGAGCTCGTCCGCGTCTTTCGAAGGCATCGCACTAGCTGAGATCGCTGTATTCCTTGGACAGACATCGAGACGCACCAGGCAAGCCTCCGCTGGCAGTTTAGTCGCGCTGTTAACTTTCAAAGCCAGTCGCCTAAGACCTCCGTCAGAAGCCTTGCCAGATTTGTCGCCCATTTTCGATTGGGCGCTTGGAAGGGCAGTAGGTAACAAGCTCCAGCTAAGATGAACCATTGTATCGCCGAGAGTTATGTTCACGTAAGCTGGATGCATG